TTAAGTTGAGATACAAATTTTAACATATATAGTAAGTGCTAAGAATTATATTAATTTAAAAGAAATATTTACCAAATTATAGTATAATAACATTAAATAAAAATTTTTTAATAATAATTTAAAATTTACTGTATATTATATAGTATTTTGTATAATAAAAATGTAATAAAATTAATATTTTAATTAAAGGTAGACAAATCAGCCCATATGGATTTCGTAAAATTTATTAGTATATACTATTTTTAGCACAAAGTTTATTATACAGATACATAAAATTTCATTACACAAATACATAAAATTTATTATATTATTTTTAGTATAAGTTCATTACACAGACACGTAAAATTTCATTATACAAATGCAGACACATACAAATTATTACACAAACACGTAAAATTAAAAAAATAAATATGTAAAAAAGAATTTTTTATGGATATCCATGTAATATAAAAAATTATAAAATAAAGTAAAGATCGTAAAGGGTTGGGGGTGGTAGGTGAAATAAATTAGTTATTTTTTATTATTTTTTTTTTTGTCAAAAAATAATATATATATCTATAACTATTAATCAATTTTGAACTTATTTTAAATAATAATTATATCTAAAAATTAGGCCAATTTTAAAAGAAATAAAAAGTACTAAATGTATAAAATAAATTATGTTTTATATAATCTATAATTATAAATGTTACTGAACTTGTAAGGTAAAAATATATATGATTTAAAAATGTAACTGGAAAGCTGGTAGAATTACTTAGTAGAAGGAAAATTTGGAATAAGGTAAATTTACATATAAATCTTAAAAATTTTACAGTGACCTTTATTAGAAGTAAGCGGGTCCTGAGTAACCACTTGTCTTTTTTTTAAAAAATATCTGAAACAGTATTTTGTTTAATTTTATATAAAGCTGCAAGTTCCTCTTGAGTAGGTCATGGTGTTTTTTGAAAGTCTAAACAGAGTTGACGTTTTTGTACATGTGTTAAAACTACTCTTTTATTTGGTTTAGAAGTATCTTGAACAGACTTCCTTTTTCTTTGTTGTTGAAATATAGCTATAAGTTAAAACATGACACATTGAGCAAAAAAGTTAGTATTATATGCTGGTGTATTAAACTTGGATTATCGGTATATACTACTATATATTACTTATTAAGGGATAAAAAAATTGCATCGGTATATGTTATATCGTAAAACAATATATAATATTGGTATAATGAAGTTTTTCTATTAGTTGTGAAATGGGACAAAGAATATTCATATGTATATATCAATTATCGGTATATAAACTATCGGTATATCGAGGTTAGACTGTATTAGTAAAATTTAAACTTTTAGGATCTTTAAGTATAATAAGTACATTAGCTTTAAACTATATAAAAAAAGGTTTCTTATATTTTATATATTCGTTTTTTGTAGTTGGTTTATAAAAAAATTCTCTTAATTTTTTATAAAAGTCTTAAAATATACAAATACAATTATTTTTACTTTTTGTATAAATTATACAAATTAAATATATCAGACAAATATTAGGAAAATGTAGTCTAAAATATTTATATATAGTAACTTAAACTTATAATATTTATAGTAATATTAGTTAATAAAATACATGTTTATCAATTATTAATCATATGAACTTACTATAAGATTATTATAATATATTAATTTAGTAATATTTAATAAATCAGTTTTATTTTAATTATACTATATTTATTAAAATCATTGATGTATTATTTATGTATATTTAATATTTAGCATTTTTTCTTAAAAAAAACTAAAAAAAACTAAATAAAATATTTTTACTATTTTGTATATCTGCTTTTAGTATTAATAGCATCTTGAATTCTTTTTGTTATTGATTCAATTAATTTAGTATATATTTCTAATGGCATTTCATTTTAAATTTAAGAAATATACTTTTATATTTTTACTTTAATTTTAATATTAACACTTTAAATTGATAATCAATATTATTCACAAATGTTCTATTGGATTGAAATCAGAGATAAATTAAGAGACAGATCGTCATTCAACAGGAGAAAATGATCGACATTCTATAATTAATTTTACGGGCTTTGTAATTAATAAAAAAATTTTTTGGAATTTCTTGTTCTTTACTATAAATTTTTTTCCAATAAGTGAAAAAAAACAGTATACAATAACTTTCATGTCCAAAAAAAAATATTTCATAAACTTGCACTATAGGTATATATATGTAGTTTTAGTAGAAACTGTACAAGTTTAACAAAGAATGTGAATCTGTCTCTTATACACATCTAGATGTGTATAAGAGACAGGTTACAGTGAAAAATGTTCAAAAATTTTTCATCCAATATTTGGGTTAATAGGAAATTTACCGTCAGAATCTTGCGTTTTTACATAGAAAAGTCAAAGACGTGAAATTCTAGCGATTTCAAACTTTGCAAGTGGCTTAGCTAGGATTGTCACTATAAATTACCGTCTTTAAAATTTGTGTATCATATCACATGATGATATGACAATCCGGTAAAAAAGGAGTATTAGCCATTTTTAGCGATAATTTGTGTAAATCGGCACTATTAAAATTCTCCGGTTGAGTGGCGATTTGTCTCTTAATAATAAAAAAATAGATTCTGAAAGATTTCACCTCCAAGTATATAATTATAAATAATTACAAATTTACTATATAATAATTTTTAAAAAAAGAAATATGTTGTAATATTTTGTGTAAAATTATTATTTTCTTATAAAACTAATTGAAATTAAACAATAGTATAATTTAAAAAAAAAGGTAATGATATAAAAGATAATCATAAAAAGTTATACTATAATTCAATATATTAGTTTTTATAAAAATTTTTTATAATTTTACTATATATTAATAAATTTTAAGAAAAATGGATTTATTAAAGATAGATATACTAATATGAATTAAAAGAATATAGAATATCAGGTTATGTTATAACTATTATTTATATAATACAATTTTAAATTAGAAGCTATTAGACAGAAATTACAATTTTTTTATTAAATTTTATAAATGTTATTTCTGTAGACTATTTAGCAAATAAATATAAATTCTAAAAATCTTTATTTTAAATAATTTTTTTTTAAAGTATTCTTCAATTGATTTCTTATTGCATAACTCTGAATCTTTCAGATTAATGTTATTTATGTTTTTATATTTTTTTTAAAATTGTCTGTAAACTGTAAAACCATGATAGCAGAGTTGGGAAAGTATATTGTACTATTTTATACCATATTATATTATTTTATATAATAAGATCAAAAACAATTCTTATGTTCTTATGATTTTCAACATCTAGTAATCTGATTTATACAATTTTTTTATTTTGTAGTTCTACAAAATAAAAAAATGTTTGTTCAAATTGGTCTATTAGTTTGTGAAATATTTGCAAAAAAACAAATTTGAGAAAAATTACAAAAAATGTACTGTACTAAAAAAGTTAGAGTACAGTACTGTACGTACTGTACTAACTGTACTGGTACAGTACAGTACACTTGAACCTTGCATTATAGTACTAGATATACTAAATAATAGATTTTGGTATATATGGGAAAATTAAAGTACAAATGGAAGTTGACTAATTGATTTTTTAGGGCATTTATTTTTCAAACTTACACATTGTTAAAATCATTTTTTGACATTAATTGATTAACATTCTCTTTGCAAATAATAGTAATATGATAATGTTAAATTTATCATGAATAAAGTGAATAAGAATTGTTAAAAGACCCACAAAAGCAAAACCAATTTGGCAGATATGCAATATCAACAGTTAATTCAATCAATAGTTATTAATTAAAATTATCAAATAGAAAATTTTTATAAATTGTTTAATAAAGCTTTTTAAAATTGAATGTTAATAATTGTGAATTTAATTAATAGTTCTTTTTAATCTTTAGAATAATGATGTTCGCCTTCAATATCAGAATTTGAATTGCTAACATAATCATTATTCTTTCGTGATTCTTTTCTACCATAATCTCCATCTAGTTCACTATCACTAGTATCATTCCTTCTCCTCCTTCTCCTATTTTTGTGATAGTCACTTTCTTCTGACGACGATCTGATCTTACGAACCCTATCAGCTTCAAAACGAGAATTATTACGTTCTTCAATACGTCTGTGTGATAATTTATCATGTGAAGGAGATCTATCATCTTCATTGTATCGATGATGTCTTGATGATAAACCTGTATCTTCATTATAATTATTTCGTGGGGAATAATCCCAAGCATCATTACGTTTTTCTGAACTAGAAATATTACGCCTCGTCTCAAATTCATTTCGATAACGGGAACGAACATTTTCTTCTTTGTAGTGTGTATATGAAGGTGGCGAAACACTACGCAAAGAAGATTTCCTCTCTGAATGTTTAGAGATTTCTTTTGGGCTCCTTTGTCTTCGTCGCGGAGGAGATAAGCTATCATTTCGATATCTTCGAAAGGAAGCAATATCTCGATTTCTTCTTGGAATTGGTGATAAGCTTCCGTCACGATATCTCCTAGAAGAAGGAATACTACTATCTCGATTTCTCCTACGTGTAAAAGATCCTTCACGTCGTCTTGGAGATCTGGGCATTCTATGATCTTTTTGATTATAATCTCTGTCAGAATAATCATCTTTTTTTCTTCTTGAAATATTTTCGTTTGTATCACTATCTTCCTGTTTGGCATGATGCGAAGTATGATACCGTTTGTTGTAATTATCTCGGCTACTATCGCTTTCTGTATTGCCACTTTCGCTGTCAGTTGCACTATCACTTGAATTTCTTTTTTAAAAAAAAGAATTGTAAATAATCCGATTTAATAACAAATTTTATTACTCCATTAATCTAAAATTTAATAAACTTACTTCTTTTCACGTCGATTATGATATTTTTTATCTGTATCCTTTTCCATTGAACGTCTGTCCCTTTCACGATGAATACTGCGTTGATTTTCATTTTTATTTCTATTTGTCTCCCATTTTTTTTCTCGTTCTCTCAAGTCATGTTCTCGCTCCTCTAATTTTTTCTGACGTTGTTCAATTTCTTTGTCTCGTTGAGCAATTCGTTCACGCTTCTTTTGTTCCTGTAAGTCACGATCAAAAGCTGCGCCTTCAACATAATCCTTTGAATTAATACCTAAAGCTCTCATCATTTTTTCATTCTCCGAAAGCTTAGCTTGAGAGAGATGATGAGTCTGATATTCTTGTATACTAATGAAATTTAAATGGATTATTAATTAATGATATCTAATATAACTTGACAATTATAAAAGTATTATAGATAACAAACTTTTTGTTATCCTTAACGATATCAATGGACTTGAGCATTGATTGTCGAAACGCATCAATTTCTTCTTCGATTTCTTTTTCAGATCTCCTGTGAAAAATAATTTAATGATTTAACAGCAATTTATCAAAATACTAAAAAATATCAGCTAATATTTACCCAGCTTCCTCAAGTTTCTGTTGAAGAGATATACATTTTAACTCAACCTGTCTCTTTTTTTCATGATCCAGTATTTCTTGATTAGGTTTACGATTAGCAAGTGCAGAAGAATTTGCTTTAGCTTCATCTAAAGATTCAATTTGAATATCTTTGCGAGGTCTGATAAAAGAGAGGTTACGAACTACATAACCATTTGTTCCAGATCCGCGAGGTGTAGAAAGACCTACGTTACCGTACATGTTTGCCGTTTATGTTGAATTTTTTAAGATTGAAAGTAGTTAAGTAGTTTCACTCAGGCAATTATTAATCCATGTGATCTTACAGTGTTACAAAAACAAAAACATATAGCGTCGCCCGAAAAAATGGTAGCCAGAATTACATGCCGGTTTTTTAGAATTATTTGTCACATAGTGTCACATCCAAACTGGGGACGAAATTAAAAATCTAATTGTCACCCATAACTTGTCACTTCCTAAAACCCGACCGCTACAACCTACTTCCGTGGAAATTCCTAAATTACAAGCAAATTTGCAAACTAAAAATAACGACAACCCGATAAGAATTTAGACAAAAACTTTGTCGATTTATTCTTTAAAATATCCTTTATTTTTTTGCGTATGTGATCTTGAGTTTGTGATCTGGCGCTATAGGATAGTTAGATAAAGCCTCTTTGGCAATCATGGCTTGTGGTTCAGTGTCATATTCAACAAACGCTATACCCTTCGCTGGATGGATCGAGCGAACTTCTTTAAAGCCAGAATACCTATAATTATTTGACGTGTTTTAGATTAATAATTGAGAAATAACAATACAAACGAACGAAAGAAATTGAATAACATACTGTCCAAAAAATGTGGTTAGAACAGCTCCTGTTATATCGTTTGGCAAGTTTTGCAAGAAGAGAATATTGTTTGGAGGAAGATATTCGTCCGGGATGTTGCCGACTGCTGGTACTTGATGTCCAAAATGATACATCGATGCTATTAAAATATGTTTCACTATTAAAAATGAATTCTTTAAGGTGATATGAAGATGAATTATATAATACCTCCAGGAATAGTTGATGTTCCAGGCTGAAATGAAGCCGCGTTATTTGCTTTAAATTTCTTTGTTGGAGGTTCTTTGGCGCGTTTCTCTAATTGAACGAACATATTAATTATTCATTAAAAACATTAATCTAAATTTCAGAATCCAAAAGTACCTTTGGTCTCTAATCTTTGGCGTTTATGTTCTTCAATAGTTCCATCGATAATAGCGGTAGCATCCGATTTTGTTTTCGCGTATTGGATGACCTAAAAAAGACAAATAGATCTAAATTTCCAAAGCTCTAATAATAAATAGAATAAATTATCGAATCAGTTACCATTGGCTTTCCCTGTAAAGCGAATCCTTGAACTCCTTTGATTGCATTTGTGGCACTTTCTTGTTCTTTAAATACAACAAACGCTTGTCCACGCATTCTAAAGTTGTTATGCGCAACTATATCCAAGATTTCACCATACTGTTCGAAAATGGTTGATAAAGCTTTCTTCAGAGCTAATAATAAATAGGTTAAAAGTCTATAACTTTCTGTATATTTAACAAATATTTAATACCTGGTAACTTTATTTTCTCATTAAGATTATTAATATAAATTGTGTTGTTTGGTGTTGTGCATGGCGGCTGTTTTGGTGCTGGTGGTGGTAAAACAGGTGTGGGAACGTTAGGTATACCTGGTTGCGGAATATTGAATGCAGCCGGCGGTACATATATTGAAGGGTTCGCTCCTGCTGTAGGTGGTGCAGACATTGCTAGTAGAAAAACTTTATAGTTTACATATATAGGGTAATGTTGAATTAATTGCTGTTATATATTACGTAAAAATTGATCAGTTTGCAGTGTTACACGCAATCTCACTAATATATTTCCAATTGATTTAGTCTAATTTAATATTTATGTCCATTATGTTAGGACGATCGAAACACCTTTTCAAAACGTACTCTTTTCTACCGTTTAGATTATGGAGTTTGCCGATTTTGCAAGACACGTTATCTCATATGAATAAGAAAAAATATTCTACTTTTAATACGAGTTCTTCACCCTTTCATTTAGCTGTTATTGGAAGTGGACCGGCGGGCTTTTACACGGCCTATCGTGTGCTGAAAGAACATCCAAATACGTTAGTAGATATGTATGAAGCTCTTCCTATTCCATTTGGGCTGGTTCGGTACGGTGTAGCTCCAGATCATCCGGAAGTTAAGGTATTTATTGTACTTAAAAGTAATTCAAAGACAGATATCCATGGGTAACCTCTATTCAATAGAACGTTCAAAACAGGTTTGAAGAAGTTGCAAAAGATTCGCGTTTTACTTTCATCGGTAATGTTAAGTATGGTGAAGACCTCACGTTGAAAGATCTAAAATTACAGTATGATGCAATTGTGTTTTCATATGGAGCGGGCCAAGAAAAAACTCTTGGTATTAGAAATGAGAATGAACCTATTAAGAATATTTTTTCTGCACGAGCTTTTGTTGGTTGGTATAACGGTCTACCACAATATCGAGATTTAGAACCTGATTTAATTTGCTCCGATACTGCTGTAGTTATTGGACAAGGCAATGTGGCGTTAGATGTTAGTAGAATATTATTGACGGATATTGTAGAATTGAGCAAAACTGATATAACAGAATACGCTCTGGAAACACTCAAAAATAGCCAAATAAGAAATGTTATTATTATAGGAAGAAGAGGACCTCTACAGGTTTGGTATTTTGTAGATGATCACAGAATCAGTCGAATTAATATTTGATTTCCACCTTTACCGCCTTTATTCATATTCATTCATAAAGTATAGGTTTCTTTTACTGCCAAAGAACTTCGTGAAATGATGAATTTACCAAATACGAAATTTTATACAGATTTCGAATTGATAAAAAATGAACTTTCTACGAATGTTGATATAATTTCGAAAGATCGTCCTTTGAAACGATTAATGCAAATATTAGAGAAAGGAATGGAGAATACTAGTGGTTATAAATCATGGTCACTCAAATTTTTAAGAAGTCCTGATGAATTCATCGCGCATGAAAATGACGATCCTTCTCGACCAAAATATGTACGTGCAGTTAGATTCCATATCAATAGATTAGAAGGTCCATTAGAAAATCGCATTGCTGTTCCAACTGGAGAAATGGAAGAATTAGAAACAGGTCTTGTCCTTAAAAGTGTAGGATATAAGAGTATACCCCTAGAAGGTTTATCTTTTGATGAAAATAAAGGTATTGTCCCTAATCATAAGGGGAAAATATTGGACAATGATAATAATGAGGTATACTTGAATTTATTAAAATATGTTTTTTAATGTCGTTCAAATGATGATTATTACTTCATTTATGATTAAAGCAACCGGGTTTGTATGTCGCTGGATGGTTAAAACGTGGTCCCCAGGGTGTTATAGCAACAACAATGTATGACGCGTATGAGACAGCAGAAGTTATTGTATCAGATATTAAGCAAGATAAGCCAATGCTTTCAAACGATACCTTTAAATATGGATCGAAGGTTATAATTCCGATTCTTCATCAACGTGGCATAAGAACTGTTTCATATAAGGATTGGAAAAAAATAGAAGAAAAAGAGAATGAGGCAGGAAGAGCAAAACATAAACCGAGAGAAAAATTTGGAAGAGTTGAAGATGCAATGCAAGTTTTAGACACATGAGACGAAGTTTACACATTAAGCCACTGTTTCATTCTACACCTAATTAGTAATACAAGCCGATTTGAGCATCTCTTTAAGCCAATAATTTATTAGACAGAAATATTTTACATTCGATTTTTTTATAATGAAATTGATATATAATAATGTAGTGACAACTTGTATAATAAATTTGCCACGAGTTATTAGTCTAAACGGCTAATCACCAAAACGAGGATCATAATTAAACTTCTAACAAAAATCTAACAGATTTTTTGATCGTATAATTCCTAGTTTCGACGTACGTATAGGAATAAAACAGTCATAAACAAATTTGAAAAGTACTCTCATACTATGTTAATGGCAAACTATTAAAACAAATTATCAACCTTTTAACTTTTTTAGCGTATGATAAAGACATAATACGAATTCTTATGGATAAAGCGTATTAAACGCGAAATTTCTAACACTTGTATAGAATCAAATTTCCAAATTACCAGTAACGCGCCCTGACGTAGACGCGCATTCCAAAGCGCGTTAACATGGTGATGTTAAGTTACCTAATTTAATGATCAACAAATTGATTTATACTTGTACTACCTAAATTTTTGGAAATTCTGGTACTTGTAGTCAATTAATTCAATTAATCCTAAAAATAAGTGCTATTATTCCAATTCTCCAACTAAAGAATCTTTATGCTTATAATGTTAAATTTGAAGGAAATTAGCAAATACTTGTCCAATTCCGATAATAGTCATTGAAATATCAAGAAATATCGTTTCATACCTACTGTAATAATAAAATATAAAAAGAAATTTCGTATTCTAAATCTCGACAATTCTTTGCCTGATTTCACGTGAAAAATTAGAACATTGTTTTATTTTCAACTTTCAGATGTTGATCTAATCTGATATAAGAGTCTTTTCCGGTCGTGAGCTGTAAATTTTTAGTGTCAACGAATGGAATAAATCCGGACTTGATGCAAAAACAATCAGCATAAAAGTTAGAAAAACAATCCGTAAGACAGGGAAATAATTATAAGTCATTAAATAAAGTTATTAATAATTTGTGATCTGCATATTATTAAGCGAGTGCATATAAAAAGTATAAATTTTATTTTTACTTAGTTAAAAATGTCTTTGGAAGCTATTATTGAATCTGCTAATTTACTGTTACAAACTACGTTGAATGCAAATATTGGCTTCGCAGAAATATCTACAAACAAAGAAAAATTTATTTTCACTTGCAAAGAGGAGGAAATATTAAAATTAGCAACGCGTTTGGAACTGTTAAAGAAACAAATACGCGTTTTACAATATACTTTACAAAGAAAAAGATGTTTAGAACATTTCGAGTCCTCGGATCTTGACGGAGAAAGCGTAGAAACTTCTTTGGAAGAACGAAATAAAGAGAAAAAAATTGTGTACGCGGCTTTAAATACAAAAAATCGAGTTAAAGATAAAGCTGCAGAAAAGTAATTTATTGTTCTTTATTCTTTAAATACTTGGCTATAAATAACATTAATTTATATCTTCAAGTACTGAAATAGGGCGAGTCATAATGACTTCTCTTTTTTCCGAAGGAAACAAGACATCTTATGAAAGTTGTCTCAATGAGATGATAAATCATCGTGATATCCTCGTATCTGGATTTCTGAAATCACATCAAGAGCTTCTTGGTATACAATATGAGTTGACAAATCTTAAAAAAGCTGTTATTGGTTTGTTTTTTTTTTATTAATAGAAACTATTATTTTTAATAATATTGATTTATTTCCCCTATTTCATTTAGTTCGGCATATAGAAAATAGAATATTGATGAGGCAAATCAATGAAATTACTTCTAAACCAATGACAAAATATTATGAGAGTTCAGGAAATAATCAAGCTGAAATTTTACAACTAAAAATAAATTTGACGAATGCAAGATCAAAGAGAGAAATTGTCCGAAATGTTTTACAGGGATTAATTCTTGAAAGTGGAGTGGAATGGGCGAACGATGAACATTTATTGAAGCTAATGCTTGTTATTGGAGAAGAAATTTGAAATTAAACAATAATTATCATCAGAATAAATATATTTGATATAAATTTCACAATTCTTTCGAAGAATAAACATAAATTGTTGGAATATTATGTTCATGATTTGTCGTAAATATTTATTACATAAATTCTATTTTCATTGGTCATGATAATCAATCATGAGTAATAAATGATCTACAGTTTGTTCAGTATTCGCGACATTTTTTTCTGAGGAAAAATTATTTATTTAAATCATGAAAGCTTTGTCAGCTTTGTCTAATTTAGCAATAACGACGCGTCATTCCGCAATAATATCCTGCCAAAAATCTTTAGCTTCACTATATACTTTTAAAAAGAGGTTAATATGTACAAGTTCGATAACTGAAGAAATTCAAAAACATCAAAGTAAGAACTTGTTTTCGAAATGACGTATAATGCTTCCATATTATTTTATAATTTATTTTAACAATTTGTAGAAAGAATTAATGAAGTTGGAGTAGAAATGCTGCCAGATTGGCTTCATAATAAAGTTTTCCCTCAATCTTGTCAACATCCTGATCAAAAAAAAGTTACTATTGCGAAGGATCATTTGAAACAACAAGGTCTATTTGGAAAGGAAACGGAAAAAGTTCCTGATGTTCCTGAATTTGAAATACCAAAATTATGCGGAGATTCTATTGCAGAACACTTCTGGAATATTGGAGAAAGTCAAGCAAAGAAATATAGAGAGTTAGCAGAAAGGTTCGCTGATTCAGACCTTTTAGGCATACCCTTAAAAGAAGATTGGTTAATTGAACCTGGTTGGACCCGTTATGAAAGTGATAAAAAACCTGAATCTGTTGAATTTCCGAATGAGCAATTATTATGTTTTGATGTCGAAACGTTATTAAGTAAAAGTGATTATGGCCTTATTGCATGCGCCGCATCTCCATCCGCTTGGTATACCTGGATATCCCCGCATTTACTTAAAATTAAAAAGGACTTCGAAAACAATGAGAAAATCGCCACTTCTGAAAAGATTAAGATAAACAAAGAAGATAATAATGAGATTAGCAATTTAATACCTATGGGGCGAATGATCAAAGACCGAATAATAGTCGGTCATAATATTTCGTTTGATCGTGCAAGAATCAAGGAAGAATATAATTATAACAGATCTGATAATAAATTTATAGATACACTGGCTTTACACGTTGCCATTAGTGGATTATGTGCACGACAGCGTTCAACTTGGATTAAATATGACAAGGCTTTGGAAAAAAGCGATACAAGTTATCTTGATGATAAAAAATATTTTCAGTCAATATATGATGTTAGTTCAACAAACAATCTTCGTAATGTTTACAAATTATATTGCGAAGGCGAAGTAGACAAATCGATCAGGAAAGAATTTTTTGTTAACGGAACTTTAGAAGATATAATAATCGAAAAAAATTTACGGCATTTGATTACCTATTGTGCAAGTGATGTTCTAGCAACGTTTCAAGTTTTCAAAAAAGTGTTACCGCGGTTTTTAAAAGTATGTCCACATCCTGCATCATTTGCAGGTATGCTAGAAATGGGGAATATGTTTTTAACCACATCCAAAGATTGGGACATGTATTTACAAACTGCTGAAGAAGTCTATCAAAAACAACGTGACGCAATTGAAACTAGATTGGAACTACTCGCTAATAAAGCTGTTAAATTAAGTCCTGAGTCGATAAAGGATGATCATTGGTTAAAACAATTAGACTGGACATATCCTTCACGTGTGAAAAAACTTCCAGATCTTCCAATGTGGTATCGTGACATTTATTGTAATAAGAAACGCAAGGTTAAAGTAACTACTAAATCTCTTATTGCGCCTTTATTATTGAGATTAAAATGGCATGATTTTCCAGTATATTATTCGAGAAAATATGGATGGATGTATAGAGTACCTAAAGACGGTGATTATCAAACAAATGTGAAAGCATGTGAATTTAATGACGAGGTAAAAGATTCTAAAGTTCAACTTAATGAACTTAATGAACTTAATGAGAAACCTTCAAAAAGAAACAAATTGAATACGAAATCAAAGTCATTAAATAATGATGTAGAACTATTTGCTAATGATAAAGATGGTATATACTATCGTATTCCACATAAAGACGGTGAGGAGGCACGTTGTGGATCACCTCTTGCGAAACATTATATTACCTCATTTGAAAAAGGTGTTTTAAGTTCCGAACATGAAGTAGCGAAAGATGCTCTTCAGATGAATGCAACTTGTTCTTATTGGATAAGTTCTCGAGATAGAATAAGGAGCCAGATGGTCGTATATGATGATCATCCCGAAATTACGGATTTGGGATTTGATAAAACTGATAAGGCAATTGGAATGATTATACCACAGACCGTAACAATGGGGACTGTAACTCGTCGTGCTGTCGAAAAAACGTGGATGACAGCTAGTAACGTGAAGAAAAATAGGATAGGATCAGAACTCAAAGCAATCATTCAAGCTCCTGAGGGGTATAAATTTGTTGGAGCTGATGTTGATTCTGAAGAGTTATGGATAGCAAGTTTGATAGGAGATTCGCAATTTGGATTTCATGGTGCAACTGCAATGGGTTGGATGACACTACAAGGCAACAAATCTGCTGGCACAGACCTTCATTCCAGAACCGCAAGTATTTTGAACATTTCTCGTTCTGATGCTAAAGTATTCAATTATGGACGAATCTATGGAGCTGGGCTGAAATTTGCGGTTCGATTATTGAAACAATTTAATGAGACAATAAAGGATTCTGAAGCTTCAGAGCGTGCAACTGCGCTATATTCCCGTACGAAAGGTAAAAAGTATATTAATAAAAACTACACTTTTTGGCATGGCGGTAGTGAAAGTTATATGTTTAACAGCCTGGAAGAGATTGCGACAAATAGTGATCCTAAAACACCAGTATTAAAATGTGGTATAACTGACGCATTAAAAGAAAATGTTGTTAATAAAAATTATATGACTTCTCGAATAAATTGGGTTGTTCAATCATCTGGGGTTGATTATCTCCATTTACTAATAGTTTCCATGCAATATATAATGACAAAATATAATATAAATGGAAGATTCATGTTATCCGTCCATGACGAAGTTAGGTTCCTTGTTAAAGAAGAAGACAGTCATCGAGCAGCTTTAGCTCTTCAGATAAGCAATTTTTGGACTCGTGCTATGTTCAGTTATATGTTGGGAATAAATGATCTACCTCTGGTAAGTAAAATAATGATTGTAGAAAGTTAGTGGTTTAATAGTTTTAAGGTTTGATGTTTCCTTTTTTTAGTCTGTCGCATTCTTTTCGGCGGTTGAAATCGATCATGTTCTGCGTAAAGAAGCTGAAATGAAGTGTAAAACAATTTCTTATGATGCCGAAATCAAAGAAGGGGAAAGTTTAACTATCCAGGAACTTATTGAACTTGATACCCAGCTGGATAAAGAAGTCAATAAGGACAATGAAGATTATAATACGAAAGAACTTGATAATTCTTCGGAATTATTGACTCCGTATAATAGTAATAATAGCGAAATATATTTAATAATTCAAAGTTTATCAACTGAAGAGGAAGTGGAGACTTTAATGCCTAGGAACTCTACCAAAAATACGAGGCCTTACCAAAATTACAATAGACCGTATCATTTTGAAAATAGTAAACTATATAAAAGAAATTTAATTTATGAAGAAGTGACATAGTAATGAACATTTATCATCGTCATCATCATCAGTATATTACTATGACTATGATCTATATTTTTTTTTAGTATATTTCGTGTTAACATTATTATTATCTGTTTCATAATCTATCTTACAGATTTTAAAATGAAAAAAAAAATTATTATTTTAGATAAAAGTAAAAAAATTCTAAAATATGATCACTCATCTTAAAGCAAATAAATATACACTTACTCCAGACACATAATCATGACTTTTTATATGCCCGTCTTTCTCACTTTTTTGTCTTCCGTTTTCCCAAATGTTTTGGCATTCGATCTTTAATTTTTGAGCAAAATCCTGAACACATGGACCACGTGTAGATGATATGAAAACCCGCATGGCATGTTCTAGCTTTTGTAATAAAAATACATCGTATTCGTATTCGTTCTTTTGAAAGAAAAGTAATAATAATCATTTACCTTCATTTCATGATATTGTTTAGTGTAGTAAGCAGGGGATTCTAATAAATAAATGCCGATAGCTTTTCTCAAAGCCTGAGCACAATGTCTGTGAATCGATATAGTCGTTAGGGAAATTGTAAATATTAATTTGATTTTCAAGATTTGGTACTTGCCCAGCTGAAAATCGATTGTTCACTTGCAAACAGTCTTTCAAACGTCTCTGTAGAATATCATCAACAGCACTAAAACTTTTTCGTTCTTTTCGATCTAAAATTTCTTTTCCGAGTTGCCCAAATAATAACTCTTGTAAAGCTATACATCCGGACATCCATTGGTTAACATCAGGGAGCTATTAAAAATAATTTTCGTAAATATAAAAACATTGCGTTATTTAATTAATTAATATATACACACCTCACTTGATGGCATCCCGCGCTTAACAAAACTTCTCGGGTAACCAGTAGCAGACCATTTAATCCAACCATGTGCGAATTCTCTCAATAATTTAATTTCAAAATGTTCTGCACCTCGAGACTCTAACTTTCTTTTTCTTAATAAAGAATCAATATCAACTTGGTTCTCTTGACAACTTTTAGTTTTAGACATTAGAGTAGTGGTTGAATCAGATGATAATAAATTGCCTGTAGAACCACGTGTAATTAAATGCACAAAAAATTGAGAGGAAGGCGGAGGAAGAGTAAATAATTGACGACTAAAAGTATATAATGTATGTAATTAATGCACTTCTAATAGAATATTTAATACGCTATAATAAATAACATACCCGTCGAAAGGTGCATGTATATCACTAGTTTGCATGAGATGACACGCACGAAACAAGAAGCGGATACGAGCTTGTAAAGCTTCTTTAATTCTTTTAATACTGCCCGAAGGTGCCTATATATACAATCAAAGTTAAATGAATATAGTGACCTAAATATCTAACTATAAGTATGCTTATTACCTTATCATGATTAGAGTCTGTTTTGTGTCCGTCAATTGAAGAAACAGACAATTGTACCTATCATAGAAATAAATAAATACAAAATAAAATTTATATATAAATAAAATAAAATATTTTCCTGATGAATAAAATATTTTTGATTACATCTTGGAACAAAAAGAGAAGGAAAGGGACACAACGTCCAGGTGCTGTTACTCCACCCTGCGCTGTCCATGCTCTTCCGCTGTATCCGCCAATAGAATATGATCCATAAGGAGATGGTATTCCAAAACTCTGCCAGCATAAATTCATGAAATTCGTTGCATGAGGTAAAATATGTTTTTTGACAGAGTACATTGTTCTGAGAAGAGTAATCATATTTCCATCTAGTTTGGATATTGGTTGTGTTAACTAAAGATTATACATGACGTAAATAACTAGAAAAATCAAATAATCACAAAAGAATAGTTTTCAAGTATAAATGAAAGACTTTACATACCAATACTACATGAGACAGCATGAACATAAACACGAGCATTCGTAAATAAATGTGTTCGTGTTTCCATATCCAATCTTGAAAATCTTGCTTTATAATTACGAACAAGCAAATTCTAATTAATATCATGTTATAATAACAATTTTACACGCCAAAAACTTACCTCATTCTCAATTGTTAACTGGGAACTTCCCCAAAGTTGTAACAAAGTCTCGCTCTCTTTAACTGAATCGATAAGTAAATACACAATATTTTTCGTCGCATCGCAATACATCCATAGACCACACTGCAAATAAATAAAAGATTAAATTACAAATTATTATAACCGAATTAGACACTCTTACATTGTTTCCGTTTGATATCAGTAAAATTGCTCCTTTCGGTCGATTATGATTAACTTTTTCATTAGATATCTATAGATGAATTGTAATACCTTTTTTAACATTGTGTTATCATTGATAATAGTCAAAACTGTGAGTTTATACCTGCCCAAACACATTTTTTTCTACGATAGCATTTGCTATAGAATGAAGATTTGTTGTTGTTTCAGACTGAGAAAATCCAATAAAAGAGACAATAGAAATTGGTACAGATTCTTGAAGTTTAAAGTCTTTAATAATGTCTTTATGATAAATTACGTTAGTTTGAGCTTTTTTAAAAACAATTTTATAGAGAATGCCGAATACCTTCGAATTTGTTTTTTAACGTAAAAAAGCTTTGGTCTACTTCCGAAACTGTTTGTTCTTTCGGAGAGATACTTGAAGTACTTGTATTTTCCGCGACAATGTCTTCAGTTAAAAGAATTTGTTCTTCCATGTGAAGTTTATATACAGAAGCGCGGTAAACACAAAAAAGCGAAATTTATAAATTTCGTATCACGTGACATAGGCATTAATTTATAATTTATGTAATTTAAAGATTTTAATACAAGCTAAGCTACTACTACTTTTCGGGCATACAGTATAAAACATTAAAATCATGATTAATTGTCTTCTATTTTGACTACAATATTACCATCGGTCATTATCAATGGACGGGTAATAATAATGAGGTTGTTATCAAACAAGAGTTTCATACGGGATTGGAGTGATTGTGGTCGGCATATTCTTATTAGTAGAGACAAAATGAGATTTTCGAGGACCTTCGGGTTGTCTTTTAAGATTAACCTTTTCTACATTCATAAAATTTTAAAGGTTAAAAAAAAACTAGATTTAGATGAGAATCTTTGTAATCTTTCCTACCTCCTTTAGCTCTAGCTTCTTTCTTTTTGATCGCATTTTCCTTAACACGTCGCAAGAAATCATCTCTGCATTTCGAATGCTTAATATGCTCAATTCTAACATTAACCCGCTTTTCAATATAACGGTTGCCAACAACTTTGTTAATTATTACACCAACAGCAGATTTTGTTACATTGTAAATGATCCCGGTGCGACTGTTTAAATAAATAAGAATCAGCATTTTTTATTTAAAATTGTATATAAAAAAGATGATATCCCAAATTATATTACCCATGATAAAATTTGTGGGGCATACCCTTTTGGACAGCGCCGTTGGCTTTAATATCAACAATATCGCCAACTTTATACGTTTTAAGGTAGGTTGAGAGCCTAATAGATCCAGTCTCGCGGAATTTACGAGAAAACATATAGCGCGTACGGGCGCGGATACCATAAGAGTGCGGCATTTTTAATTCTATTGAGTAATTATTAATCGATATAAATAAATTATTAATATCAGTAACTGTCAAATTTTGTATATCTTGTGAAAGTAATTAAATCGATAATTAACCTTACTATTTGGGTCAACAGGAAACTAATTTCAAATTTTCAACTAAAACTCACAATGGTTGGTTTTTTAGTGAAAGTAAGGATGAAAATAAATTTTTAATCAAAAAATTTTTACATCGTTACGTTGTGATTGGCCGGATACACGTGACTTTATCAAAAATTTTTTTTTTAAAAAAATTTTTTTTGAGAATAAAGATATCCTCCTTTTTTTCAGACGGGTATATCCTAGATTCTTCAAAACTTATTAATAATGCCTGGAGCCGCAAGGAATTGTATTCTTATGAGACTTTCCTAATATTTGTTATATTATCAAGTGGATTTTTCGTAAATGTATCAGATAAAATTTTTTTTTTGTCAAAGTATTGAAGATATAGTCGATCGAATATTTATAAACGAGATATCCTTTTTGTTGATTAGAAATGTGCCAATTTAATGTGTCAGCGATTTCATTTAGATATTGATTATTGAATTCATAATAAGTAAAATTTAATTAAAGTATTATATGGGAAAGTTTCATAGAAGAGAGATACAGCAATCTCTCTGGACACGAACGAACGTAAAGAGTTATGATCCACCATTCACTTCCATTTTTTAAAAAAGTTGGGATAAGTGTGGATCATACTTGTTGCTAAGTGCATCATTTGGAAAGCCTTCCACAATTTCAGATTTCGAAAATCTTAACCTTGTTGCCTACATTAGCATACGAGTGAGATTTCAAAAGTGGAATATGGCTTTACCAATTTTTTCTCGTTTCTTTAAATAGGCTCAAAAACGTACAAGGTTCCTCGTCGTCCTTTCGAAAAAGAACGAATTGATCAAGAACTTCGACTAATCGGTGAATATGGTCTTCGGAACAAACGTGAAATTTGGCGTGTAGCATACACACTTTCAAACATTCGTCGTGCTGCTCGTGAATTATTAACATTAGATGATAAGGACCCTCGTCGTTTATTTGAAGGAAATGCCTTGATTAGAAGACTAGTCAGGATTGGAGTATTGGATGAAACTAAGATGAAACTTGATTATGTTTTGGCTTTGAAAATAGAAGATTTTTTGGAAAGAAGATTACAAACTCAAGTTTTTAAATTGGGTTTAGCTAAATCAATTCATCATGCTCGTGTTCTAATCAGACAACGCCATATTCGGTACGTATGAATTTATATAATTTATTTTATAACAATGAGGTTGGTAATCCTAAGTGTTTCAAATAGTGTTGGTAAGCAAATAGTCAATATTCCAAGTTTTATTGTTCGGTAAGTACTATAATAATCATTGGTTTAAGTAATATTGTCATTTAACGCTATTTATTCGTTTATTTACTGTTTGTTTATTATTTCGATTTAGCCTCGACTCTCAGAAACATATCGATTTTGCCCTCACTTCGCCTTATGGTAATTTATCATATATATTATTTAATATATTTAGTTATAATTTCTCACATTCGTAACTTTTTATAGGTGGTGGACGTCCTGGTCGTGTAAAGAGGAAACGTCAACGCTCCGCTATTAAGGGTAAATTATATTAAGAGCACTGTATTAATAATTTTTTTGCGGTTATTAAACAAATTTCCTTGATTTATTCTTGCAGGTAAAGAGGAAGAGGAAGACGAATAAACGCAAACTTTGTAATTGATTGACTTTTGGAGGCAATTGGTTATATAAAGTTTATAAAATATGTAACTTAAATAATAATATATCGTTTTGCAAAAAAAATTTTTAATTTCTATAATCTAAAGTCTCACAGCCAATTGATATAAAATAAAATTACAAAGACTAAGTTTCCATCGCATCAGTATTTTCTGTAACTATAGTGTTTTCTACGCCTTCCATTTCAACAGGAATTTCATTAAACATGTATTGTTCTTGAAATTCTCTCAAGTAATTAACAGATCTTTTTTCATCCAAGAACAATCTATAAACGCGTCTTATGTCAACAACATCGACACTACTCGCCTATAATATATGTCCAGGCTAGTGTTAATGTTTTATATAAAACTGAAAATGAATCATAACCTTTTGCAGTTACCTTTCTTTTTTTAGCTACAAGATGAGCAGCCGTAATCAAGTGTATTGCGTATCTTAACGAGGTCTCCATTCCTATTTTTGTTAATATATCACGTGCTTCCTCAGTCATTGTTACATCTTCTTCTTGACATCTTTGGTTTTGGATATAAATATGTTAAAATGAGCAAATAAATAAAGCAATTTTTAAATGTCTTACCTAATGGTTAGAATTTGTTTGATCGAATTGTCATCATATGGTATTGTACTAATGATCAATAATCGATCTAACAAATCAATTGGAATCCCATGTGGGCTCTTATACTTAGTACCTCGAATTCTTGTAATACCGCGATTGGATGCCATAATGACGACCGGCGCTCTTTCATCCTCTAACGCACGATTCAGATATGAAAAACATTCAATATCAAGCATATGAACCTCATCAATAAAAAGTACCTATAAAAAATAAAAAAGTAATATAAGTAATTATGATTTCTAATTTTATTAGCAGGTGAAAATTTCATCAATATTTTTACTTACACCGGGAATAATTTCGGCCTTTCCTTCTTCTCTCCATTCGGTAACTTTCGTATTTATTTGGTCTCGAACCTCAGGCTTAATCTCGCCAGTATCACCTAACAAAAATATTAGTAAGTTTTTAAAATATGTCCATTGATATAAATTTTCTTATTACCAGAGAACAAAGCTAAAAATCCCTGTGTTCGACTATTTATCACATCGATCTCATGCAGTGATACTGTGTGAACCACTTCTTTACGTTTTTGCAATTCGCCTTCGGGGCATTGAACAAATCTAGTCTATATTCATTATTGAAGATTTGATTATGTTTATATGAAGGAAATATATGTACATAATTTTCAAGATTCATCTTTGATAAACGAAATATTTTTTTACATCAGCACCCATTGCATCATAGTCCCTAGCTCGAGTAAACGATCTACCCAATTTAGAGATCTTTCCCGATGATTTATCGATAGTGATAACGTCACTACAATTTATAAATAAATATAAATATTTCATCGAAAATTATCCCATCCTGTTTATAGATATTACCCAGCCAAAACCTTTTCTTTGTTTAATACATCTATCATTTTATGTCCCAATTCAAATATTGTTTCCATGTCTGTTGTCTTAAGAGTTATCTTCCCAGTTTTATTACCCTTGATAAGTTGAAAAAAGTTAATAATTATAAATATATGACGATTAATTTTCAATAATAAATTACTTACCCCTGTGATTGATCGATCGATTTGGATTTCAACGACTTCGCCTTCAATTATTTCAGCTTCCTCTTTTATACGTACTCCGATTGAACGTCTAAAAGCTTGTGTGAGCGCCTCAGTCTTTGACATTTCAAGGGAAAAAATTTCAGAAGCAGCAAGCATTGTAAAAGGTATATCTTTGCCCAACGCTTGTGCCATTCCTAAAATAATAAAAAGTATTTATTTTTCGAGTGAAATGTGTCTTCTCCTCTCAGGTATTAATACGAGACTTACCCATTGCGATAGCAGTTTTACCAGTCCCTGGTGGGCCAGCCATGAGAATAGCCCGGCCTGCAATTTTACCCTCCTTAATCATTTGCAGAATCACTCCTGCTGCTTTTCGGGCTTTAATTTGGCCCACCATGCCTTGTGCAACTTGTCGAGGTTCCAATGAATCGTCAAGACCAAGACCCCGAATGTGCGAATGAGCACCTAAGAAAAGTTGATTTTTGGTCTTAAAAACAAAATATCTAAATATTAAATTAAACAAAAACCAACCTATTCGTTCCATTTTCGTAACATCTTTAATTTCTGAAGTGGTCGTGATTGCACCTGCCTGACATACATAGGTCTATACATTGAGAACGACATTTTCGGAATGTCAAACTAGAACAGAGATAAAGAGATAAAGCACTCTACCATATTGTTTAATTCAACAAAAAAAAAGCTTCTGTAGTTGATTTGATCAAAGGAAGCCTTTATATTGCGTGTATATGTAGATAATCATTTTTTCCATTCAAGATCATAATGACAAATTTTCACTCCACGTGATCTTTAATAGGATCCCAGCTACACCATCGGGTTTGGCCCGCATTACGGCGTTATGCACTAACACGTGAAAATAAACAGTGACGAATAAGGGCGTGACGAATAATTTTTTACTTACTCGAAAAAACAAGTCCCTCAGATATATATAAACAGCCGGAGGAGTGACAATGTGACAAATATTTTTACGGTCACGTGCCTAAGTTTTTTTGATGGTGAAGCTGGGAAAAATTAGGATTCCAAAAATTACCCTCCTCATATTACTTTCTTGATTTGGTCAAAATGCATGATTATGTATGATAACCATATTCTTTTCTTGATCTGAAAATTAAACATTAACACATATTTTTTCAAAGAATCTTTTTGTAAGACATCAATATTAATAAAATAGATTTAATGAAGAAATAATGCAGTAATATTTTATATTAAACATTAAGAGAACAAAGTTTTTAACAAGTTATTTTTATTAAATATTCAAAATATTTCTTTTTTGTTTAATACTGCGTTTTGAGACAAGAAAAGAATATATGGTTGTTATACATAATCAATGCATATTTTGATCGGATCAAGAGAGTCAAGAAGGTAATTTTTGCAGAACCAAAATATACTGTATTATAAAAAGGCAGAAAAAAAAAACTATCATCAAAATAAATAAAATAAGTATAGTGTGCACAGTCTAAAGTCAGGTAATATGCAAAAAAGTGGCCAAATTTTCAACCATATAGATATCACGTAATTTGATATATAAATGCATTTGACTTACATATTATAAATTTATTAATATTGTTATTTATACGTTAATTACATTATTTGGAATACGTCTGTGAGATATATATTTTTTAACTGCATATAAAGCTTCTATTCCCTTCAATTCTTTCTTATATGCATCCATAAATCTCCAACTCCGCCTAGCATATTTTCAAATTTGTATTAGTAGCATCAGGAACCATTTTCTCCAATCCTTTAAAAGTATAATCACAATTATTTCGCGTAAATTGTTTTGCTGCATTCCAAAATTGTTCAATAAAATTTAATTCACAATGGAATTTTGGGTAAAAAATAATCTTATGACCTTGATCTTCAATAATTTCTTGAATTAAGGGTCTTTGTGCAGCAAAATCAAGTTGAAAAAAGAGAATTCTAACAGCACAGCAATTATTTTTTGTGGGTAAATGAATTTTGCATTCAGAACAAATTCTTTTTAACCCTTTTTTCCATAATCCTCTCTCTTCTAACACTAATTTAATACCTTTTGGATGCCCATCTGAAAGATACATTGATTGAATTTTCCCATCAGATTTGAATTCATCTTTAAACTTTTTTTACTATCTGGATTAAGATTCATATGATGTGCAATTAAAGCATCAGGCGCATATTGTAGTATTATCAAATGCAAATACATCTATAGAATCAGGATATTTTTGCTAAAAATAGAAATTGCTTTTTTTACTATCTATTGCATATAAAATAATATTGTCCATTAAAAATAATAAAATATGATAAATTTTCAAAAAAAAGAATAAAATAAATTAATGTAACATTCCTGTCACACGTTAAATAACCAAAAACAGGCAAAAAAAATGGCGCGAATTGCATAAACTATTCGCAAATTTGTATAAACTATTTACAAATAGTATAGGTTAATTCGCAAATAGCCAAAAACAGCCAAAAACAGCCATAAATAGCCATAAATAGCCAAAAATAGTCACTGCTTTTTGCACCATTTTTTTTGCCAATTTTTAGCATTTTGACCAGTATGTTTAACTAAATCTTCATTTGTCCACCATCCATCACGGTTATTACAGGACCCTGAACAATATATATATAGGTCAGATGAAAAATTCAAAATTTACTAAGGTCAATAAGCAAATATTTTTCATGTCTGCTAAGCAAACTTTTATCTAATCCATAAATTTTTTACATTGCTAAGCAACTTATTTTATGACATATATATATTAATATATAATTTTTTTTATAAAATATGTATATAAAAAAAAACTAAAAAAACAAAAATTTTTGAAATAATGCATGGATAAAGCTATTATTATTTTTTTGTAATATTACAACTTATAAATGTTTCTTATTAATATTTTTGTATATCTGTTCTGTAACTTAAAAGCGTAATTTAGGCACTTTAGTCAAAGGAAACATCCAAAACCTTCTTAAATAAGTTGTTCAACAGGTTCAAATCTACTTACATATAAATTTTTATCATAATTGAATAGATATTTATGGATTTATTCATGTTTTTTGTAATGCTACCAATATGCGGAATTTTTATTTTTAAAATTTACTGTAAAATTTATCAAAAAAAATATTTTTAAAAAATTTTCTAAGTAAAAATGAAATAACTTTTATTGATTATTACAAAAATTATAGTGTAAAATTATAAAAAAAACAGAAAACCACTTATTTTTTTTGCTTTCATTTTTACAGCAATATCCAAAATAAAAAAAACATTTGAAAATTTTGTTGCTGATAATCTGCCAGGTTGTCAGCTTGCCAGGTTGCCGGCAAATTGAAAAAATAAACAAACACGTGACAAGTTCATTATGTAACATAAAACATTTGATTTTGCGTATAAATATTGTTTTATTTTCTTTGCGTAATGCCTAAATTAAAACTAAATTGATATTTTCGTTGGTTAATAGTTGAAAGAATTTTGGAAGGCGCGTTATATAAAAGAATAGCAGAACAACTTAATCTTAGTAAAGCCTCTATTTCTAAAGTATTTTTACGTTTCAAAAAATATGGATGTATAGATTCATTACTAATAGAAGAACGATTAAGACTCCTTTCGATTGATGATATAAAGTATTTAAAAAATCTTTTGAAAGAAAAAATAGATTGGTATTTATGGGAGCTGCAATCTGAAATGGAGCTGTGATTAGGCCATCGTATTAGTTATGGCACTCTCTAAAAAGCTATACAGTCAACTCCCTCTATAGTCACTCCCGTTATAGTCACATTTTACTATATAGTCACACCAGTTGAATGTTCAAAACACTTTATTATTAAAATCTATCCTATATAGTCACAATCTATCTATAGTCACTATCACACCTATCCTCAAAAATCTTATATTAAAAAGAACC